AGTCCCAGCTATTTGGGAGGCTGAGGCAAAAGAATCGCTTAAGCCCAAGAGTTTGAGGTTGCTGTGAGCTGTGATGCTATAGCACTCTACTGAGGGTGACAGTTTGAGACTCTGTCTCAAAAAAAAGAGCACAGACTCTGTGCCAAGGATGGTGGTGTGCTGAGCACTAGGAAAGACATTCATCTTCTTCAATCCTCATTGCAACTCTGTGAAGTTACAGATGAGGAAACTGAGGCTCAAACTTTCACAATAGGTAAGGCATGTGACCAGCTCTGTCTGATCCCAGGGCCTCAGCTGTCAGATATGGAGCTAGGTGGGCCTGGGTCCAATCCCAGCCCTTCCCACTTGCCCAGGTGTCCTAACCCCTCTGAGCCCATTTCTTCACCAAGAAATGGATGTGATACTTTCCACTCACCTCAGTTGTTATGAGAATGAGACTGAACATTGCATTTGAAGAGTCTACCTGGAAGCTGGTACCCAGGAGGAACTCAGTGTTTGTGCCCTTCCCTTATTTGGAAGCCCCAGAGGCCTCCACATTCACGTAACTTCATCGCTACTTTCTGGAGTGTAGGGAGTCCCCATCATTTGCTCTCTCACTTATGTCCCCATTAATGTCCACTGAACATGGAGCACCTACTTCCAGGCCACACCCCCTGCTGACACCTCACTCAGGGAGCCAAACAACCCTGCTAGTCAAGGACTGACTTTCAGACAGACTCAGCCAAACTGTCAGAGCTCACATAGCCAGGCAGTGGTCCCAGAGCTGAGATCTGACTCCAAACCTGAGCTTATCCTGCTCAGCACCACCTACGACTCCCAGGGAGGCAGAGCAGCAGTTGGCCGCCTGGAACATGAGCCTTAAACATGAGGGAAGCCATGCTGGAGGGGGTGGGGCTTCTTGGGAGGATCAGCCACAGCTGTAGGAATTGAGTTGGCCTGTGCCTGTCCCCCTGCCCCAGGATATACCCCTTGAAATGACAGCCACCATCATAGATGAATACATAGATAGAGACTCCGATGCACTAGCCAAACGTCAAGCCTTCCAAGAATTGATGGCGGACATATTGCTCACCTCCCAGACCTTGAATTTCTCAAGAAACCTCCGAGGTAAGCCTATCCCTGGCCACTTTCCATTCTGACCTCGCAGCTGGGTCATCACAGGGGGTATGGCTTCTGTTGGGTCAGTTTCCCTCATTTCTTGTGCCCCCCACACACCCTACTGCTCCCTCAATTCTGCTTTCTCTGGGATTTAGCATCACAGCAATGAGAAGTGTGTCTGTCAGGGCACTTTGCTTAGAGAAAACTGAGGTTCAGAGAGGTGCAGTGACTTGCCAGAGGTCACGCAGCACAGCCCATCACTAATTCTCAGGATTCCATTCAATTGACTGGGGAGTTCCTCCTCTTTGAGTGCTTCTCCTGGAATAAAAGTCTTGTTTCTGGGTGGTGGGTAGGGCGCCAACCACATATACCGAGGCTGGTGGTTCGAACCCAACCTGGGCCTGCTAAAAGACAATGACATCCTCAACAACAACAATAATAATAAATAAATAAAAATGGCCGGGTGTTGTGGCAGGTGCCTGTAGTCCCAGCTACTTGGGATGCAGAGGCAAGAGAATCGTTGAGCCCAAGAGTTTGAGGTGGCTGTGAGCCCTGACGCCACAGCACTCTACCCAGGGCAACAGCTTAAGACTCTGTCTCAAAATAAATAAATAATAAAAAAATAAAAAGGATTGCAGTACATTGAGCTCCATAGAGACAGCACCGGGGCAAGTGAGAGCCGGACGGGCACCCTGTGCCTCGCTGAGGAAAAACAACTAAACATGGGCAAAGGAGATCCTAAGAAGCCGAGAGGCAGAATGTCAGTATGTGCATTCTTTGTGCAAACTTGTCGGGGGAGCACAAGAAGCAGCACCCAGATGCTTCAGTCAACTTCTCAGAGTTTTCTAAGAAGTCCTCAGAGAGGTGGAAGACCATGTCTGCTAAAGAGAAAGGAACATTTGAAGATACGGCAAAGGCAGACAAGGCCCATTATGAAAGAGAAATGGAAACCTATGTCCCTCCTAAAGGGGAAACTAAAAAGAAGTTCAAGGATCCCAATGCACCCAAGCGGCCTCCTTCGGCCTTTTTCTTGTTCTGTTCTGAGTATAGCCCAAAAATCAAAGGAGAACATCCCGGCCTGTCCATTGGTGGTGTTGCAGAGAAGCTGGGAGAGATGTGGAGTAACACTGCTGTGGGTGACAAGCAGCCTTATGAAAAGAAGGCTGCAAAGCTGAAGGAAAAATCCGAAAAGGATATTGCTGCAGACCGGGCTAAAGGAAAGCCTGATGCAGCGAAAAGGGGAGTTGTCAAGGCTGAAAAAAGCAAGAAAAAGAAGGAAGAGGAGAAAGATGAAGAGGATGAAGAGGAGGAGGGAGATGAAGAAGATGATGATGAATAAGTTGGTTCTAGCGCAGTTTTTTTTCCTTGTCTATAAAGCATTTAACCCCCCTACACAACTCACTCCTTTTAAAGAAAAAAATTGAAATGTAAGGCTGTGTAAGATTTGTTTTTAAACTGTACAGTGTCTTTTGTTGTATAGTTGACACCCTACCGAATGTGTCCTTAGATAGCCCTGTCCTGGTGGTATTTGCGGTAGCCACTAACCTTGCCTGGTACAGTCTGGGGGTTGTAAATTGGCATGGAAATTTAAAGCAGGTTCTTGTTGGTGCACAGGACAAATTAGTTATATATGGGGATGGTAGTTTTTTCATCTTCAGTTGTCTCTGATGCAGCTTATACGAAGTAATTGTTGCTCTGTTAACTGAATACCACTCTGTAATTGCAAAAAAAAAAAAAAAAGTTGCAGCTGTTTTGTTGACATTCTGAATGCTTTCAATTAAATGCAATTTTTTTATTAAAAAATTTTTTTTTAAATATAAGAAGAAGTCTTGTTTCCTCCGAGCCTGGTGGCAAGCTACCTAACCCCTGCTGCCTCAATTTCTTCCTTTGAGAAATGAAGATAATAATAGAATCTAAGCCAGGAGGTTGTTCTAAGGATGAAATAAATGATGACACAAAGCACACGGCACATGCTTGACACCTAGCAAGTGCTCAGCAGAGACCTGCCGCTAATCACCTTATCAATGTCACCATCATTGGTATTGTGTTATAAGCTTACGCTGCCAAAGGCAGGACCTAATTGGGCAGTGGGCGCCTAACTCTGATCCTGTCCTCTCTCTGCAGATTGTGGGAACCCCACCTTTTTCTATGAGTTCCAGCATCGACCCAGTTCTTTTGTGAAGTTCAAACCGGATTGGGTGAAGGCTGATCATGGGGCTGAGACTGCGTTCGTTTTTGGGGGTCCCTTCCTCATGGACGAGAGCTCCCTGCTGGGTGAGGACAGAGAGACAGACATGTGATCCCTGGGCTGCCATACTCCAAGGGGTCAGGGCAGGGCTTTAGGAGCAGAGGGCTCTGTTCAGCACCAGAGGTCCTGGGTTCCCTCCAGGCCCCATGTGACTTGACTCAGGTCTGTTTCTTTCACCAGCCTTTCCTGAGGCCACAGAGGATGAGAAGCAGCTGAGCCTCACCATGATGGCCCAGTGGACCCAGTTTGCCCGAACAGGGTGAGTGAGTGAGTGGGCATCCCTGGGTTTGGGCCTGGGACACTCAGGTCTGCACATCGGGGACAGCGCAAAAGGCCTTGGTCCTCATTCATTCCTCCCCCCTAGGGACCCCAATGGTGAGGGGCTGCCTCTATGGCCCCAGTTTGACCAATCAGAACAATACCTGGAGATCAACCAGGTGCCACGGGTCAGGCAGAAGCCAAAGGAAGCCCGAATGAGGTTCTGCACAGAGACGCTGCCTAGGAAGATCCAGCAGTGGTACCAGAAGCAGAAGGGGAGGAAGGCCCCAGAAGAGCTCTGAGGTGGGGCCTGGACCTTCTTGGCTGGGGCCAAGCCAAAGGGTGGCAGATTTCCACCCCCTCCCGGGCAGCCTCCTTCCTCCTTCCCACCTCCCACTGAGAGACTTTAATATGCATCTGGCTGACCTAAGCTCGTGTCCTTGAAAGCATCAACCACTGTATGACTGGCATTCTGGTATTTTGATTGATTGATTGATTATTTTTTGAGACAGAGTTTTGCTTTATAGCTCACAGCAACTTCAAACTCTCAGGCTCAAGCAATCCTCTTGCCTCAGCCTCCCGAGTAGCTGGAATCACAGGAACCTGCCACAACACCAGCTATTTTTTAGAGACAGGTTCTCAATCTTCTCAGGCTGTTCTTGAACTCCTGGCCTCAAGCAATCCACCCTCCTCAGCCTCCCAGAGTGAGGTAGGATTACTTCATATAGGCGTGAGCTAGGATTACATCTAGACAATTTTCCTATTTTAAAAGTCACCAGGCTGCTTTCCGCCTCCAGGCTTTTGTACCAGCTCTTCCCTCTCCCAGAAGGACTTTTCCCACTTGCTTCATGGCAAGTTCCAGCTGCCCTGGTGGGGGTGGGAATCTGCCACCCTTTGACTTGACCCCAGCCAAGAAGGTCCAGGCTCCACTTCAGAGCTCTTCTGGGGCCTTCCTTCCCTTCTGCCCTAAGTCTGTAGAGCACAGAACACCCTAAGCCAGCTCTAGATCTGTGTCTTTCTCACCCTCAGAACTCTCTGAACATGGGGACCGCCTGATCTCACTCTGTGGCCTGCATCACCATCAGGCAGTACTTAGAGTCAAGGGAAGTTTGGTGAATGCATAAAACAGAGAGAGTGGGAGTGGTGGCTGCTGGATGTGAACCCAGAGCCTTCAGGTGCAAAAGCCAAGCTTAGTCTCCAACCGACTGTCTGCCCTGGCCAGAAGGTTAGAATCCAAAGGCTAAGACCTGGAGTGGGAGACATCCTGGGGAACCACGAATATCTGGGCAAAAACAGATCTTAGCCCCTGACTAGGGCCTCAGACTAGAGGTGGGCAAGGTCCCCAGCTCTCTGCTCCCATTCCTGGTCCCTGCACAACACAGCAGAATCTAGCAGGGCCACGTGCACCAGACATGGCCTTCATCATTTGGAGCCCATGCGCTTGCACTGGCCTCCTCTCTCCCTTCCTACCCAGGAAGGCACCTTCTGGGGGAGCTTAACACAATGTCAGAGCACCCATCAGGACGTACCTGTACAGGATGGGAGAGATTGTCTGGACTAGTGCATCACTCAGGCTGCTGTCACAGAGGAAAGAAGACACCTACCCACTCAGGCTGAAAAGGTGAAAAGCAGCCAGAGGTTTGCAGAGGGGAAGTAAGCACTTCTTTTTTTGAGGACCAAGGCCCTATTCCCTTCATACACCTGGATTGTGATGCACATCCACTGTCTTCTGGGGCCACCACTATGACACTCTTTTTTTTTATTAGATCATAATTGTGTACATTAATTCTATCATAGGATACAGTGTGTTGTTTCCATATGCAGCCTGGAAAACTCCCAACACTATGACACCCTTGAAGCACCAGGCCTCCATATCCCCTTTCTCAGTCAGACCAAGTTCCTGGCTGCTGACGGGCAAATGAAGAGCATATCTGCCACTGGGACCAGCTCTGTTCTGGGAAGTCCATTTTCAGTAGGAAGGAGAGACACAAAGCCAGAGGGGCTCTGAGTCATGTCACCCCACTGCTTCAAAGGTCATTGAGTCCCTATCACCCTTAGGACAAGTTCTAGTTCTTCATGTGACATTGAAAGCCTCCCGTTCTCATCCCCGTCCCTGTGCTAGGAAAGTTTGTCCCCACAAGCTGGTAGAGAGCCTGACAAGTAAACAGGCCTCAATGATACAGTGTGTAACTGGGGACAGAGAGGGCTGGGAGGACATAGAGACTAGAACACCCCAGACTTAGGGGACCGGGAAGGAGGGACATCTAAGCTGAAGCCTGAAGAACAAGCAGAGGTTACTCAGATTACAGGCCAGGGCAGCAGATTAAGGGAAGGGGAAGGGAGAAGCGTGTGCCTGGCAGAGGGAACGACAGAGGCAAAGTCCTGGAGGTGCTGAGGAAACAGTTCTGAGGGCTGCAGAGCCCACAAAGGCCAGAGCGTGAAGGGGCCTGTGGGCTACAAACGGGGGCTCAGATGGAAGGGTAATGGAGGGACACGGAAAGGTTTTCACAGGGCGACATGAACAGATATGTCATACATAGGAGGGTGGATGGGGAGGCCTGGGGGGCTCTAGAGGTAGAGTCAACAGACAGACCTGGACTGAGGGACACAAAGGTACACAGAAAGAAGCCTCCCCAGAGGCAGTGTGGAGGCCAGCAGGAGTAGGGCTGGCCTTCGGGTGACACTGGATGTGCAAGGAGACTTCTTCCAGGCCTCAGGGTGTACGGGAGCTGGGGGTATCACCATGGCCAGCTGCTCCTGGTGGGAGGTGGGTGTGGGGGTGGTAGGCACGCCTGGTGGTTAGGCCTAGCGCAAGAGCCACCACCAAGATCCTCTCCACTCCAGGAGGAAGAGAAGCTGGAAGTGTCCCCTGGGCTGGGAGGAACCCTCACAGAAGGTGATGCTCCAGGGATTCCAGACCTCTTGCCTCTGTTCTCTCTTCCCTGGGCTACTGCCCCTGGGGCCCACTGAAGGCTGGAAAGTCCCTCCCCAATACCTCTGGGCTGGAGGCAGCAGATACCCCCAGCCAAAGGGAGTAAGTTCCACATACAGAAATGCATGAGCCTGCAGGCAGGGACAAGTAGGCCCTGGAAGCTTCTCTGGTGACCAGTGAGGCGTGGACACCAGGGGGTGCTGCAAGGATCAGGCACACACCTGGACCTCCTCAGGGACAGGGTCCTGCCAGATGGGCCCAGTACATGTGCAGCAGTACGTGTGCACACCCAACCCCACACCTAGTTACTCACACACCCCAGCTGTCTCCTACACACACGCTCACCTATAGGGTTCCAATCCATTTCCACCACTTAGTGGATGCATGTCTTTGCGTGTGGTATTGTTCCTCTTTGTTCCTAAGTTTTCCCATCTGTAAAAGGGGAGCAAGCATTTGATTCCCTTCACAAGTCTGCTGTGAGAATTGAACTTCATTAGCCACAAAGCACTTAGAGTAGTGTCTGACACTCAGCAAATGCTCCGGATGTGCTCCCAGGTGTAGGGATGGGCACAGACTCCATCCCTACACCTGAAAAAAATCATATGGCTGGCCTGACTACAATTCAAAGATGGAAGATTTGGGAGATCTTACGGGATGTCATTATGACTTTGGCATGAGCTTCTTCCAACTGAAAATAACTTTTAGGCCTGGGGCTAATTAGAAAAGTTGGTACACAGAGCCCTGGGAGGCTCTCACTGGCAGGCTTCCTGGGAGAGTCCGTGTCCCTCCCTGGAGACCTCAGGAAAGCCAGGATCTCAGCTCCTCCCTCACTCTGGCTTAGCTGTTCTTGGGTTTCAGACCCATCCCCTCCCATCTTCATCCAGTTCTCTACCACCACCCACACCTTGCTCAGGTCCTGGGAAATCTATTACAAGAACAGAAAGAAACTTGGCAGGGATATGCCAGCTCTGTCTCTTGGGAATAGTGGTATTCACGCCCCTCCTCTCCTTCCTCCAGCCAGCCTCCTTGCCCATCAGCCCCACACCTCTCACACCTTGGGACATCATGACCCACTAAAGACCTGTAATGCCTTGGGATATTGGGACCCACTAAAGACCTCTCCTAAGGTGAAGTTTCCCCTCCCTGTTGCCCCTGAGCTGGCCCCTGCTGCTTCTGAGCACTTTGACCAAGGTCCCAGGAAATAAGTCATGACTGCAGTGGGGATCGAGTGGGAGCCAGACCTCATCACTAGGACCTGCTGAGCTCGCCTCTGAACCCACCCACACCCATCCTCTCTCATAGGCCTCCATACAGTCTTTTGTGGTCTCAAGTGGACCCCATGTCGCAGATGAGGAAACTGAGAGTCAAAGAGAGGATGTGTATGACCCAAGATCTCATATGGTGGGGACAAGGCCAGGACTTACACCCAGGTTTGCTGGCCTCCAAACTTCAAGGCCCTCCCTGTTCAGAATGTGTCGTCCTGTCTGAAGTGGGCTTTTCAGAGGCTGGATTTGGAGCCAAGGGGGCTGACTCAGGTGGGAGGACTGGATTCTTCCAAGTAGCAAGGGAGGCCCAGAGGAAGGAGTTTTGCAAGGTGATAGATTTAGAACGTGGCCACATAGCCCACAGAGAGATGACAGGGACCAGCCCTGCTCTTATTCAGATGCCTGCAAGGGTCCCTGTATCCTTCAGGCCTGGACAGTGGCCGTGGGGTGGGTCATTGTGCACAACGCTTCCCCCATCCACACTGTAGGGCCTCAGCCCCCCTGGTTGGGCCCTCAGGTGTGGGGGAGCCTGCAGACGGAAGGGTGGTGTGGAGCCTCCCAACCCACGGAGGGTTACAGGCCCTCTAACAGCCCCTCAACTTCTGAGGTCCCAAGGAAAAGAAGCCTTTGTACCAGACCACAGCTCCCATGGAGGGAGTTAGCAGTGTGGGAGGCTATAGGGCCTCCAGGCCGCCCAGGAGAACCTCAAGCCCTCGGAGCAAGCCCAGAGTTACCACAAGGACTTTGAACAGTAGGGTTGACTAGTTGGGCAGCCAGATTCCCAACACCCTTCCTGGTCTTACCTCCTAGGGGGACCTCTGTGATGATGCAGAACTAGGACAGGTCCCAAGAGCCATCACCCAGCCTTTACCAGAACCATCCTTTGGGGTGGGAGCTGCCTGATGTTGCCACCCTTGGGACAATCCGACTTCTGGTGTCACCAGGGATAGTCCCAGCAAGGCTCTCTCTGTTCCACTGTGACCCCCACACCATCAGAAGGTCGGACTTCTGTCCCTGCCCAGCCTCCCAGACACTCACCCAGGCCTTAGTCTCCAGGACCTAGCACAGGGCTGCACCCTGCCCGCTGTGGCTAGCTGGAGGCAGTGCGCAGAAGTGCCAGACCAGAGTTCTGGGAAAGGGATTGCAAGGCCTGCAGCAAGGGGTGCCTGAGGTTATCCAGGACCTCTGAAGCCACAATCTTGGCAGGCAGTAGAAATTCCTCAGTTATCTTCCAGTTGGACCAGATGCCCAAGGAAGGCAGGCTCAGGTCTGAGCTTCTTCCTCTGTATACCCTAATTCT